ACAACCCGCTTTTTAATTTTATTAAAAATCCTGTTTTTCAAAATTGCTGTCACATAAAATTGCAAATTTGTGCAACCTAAATTTTCAATATACAGTATTTATTTAATAAAAATAAAATTGGCAATTCAAAAATCTAGATTTATACCTATCCAAGTGCTTGTTATCTGCTTTTTCGGGTTCTTGATCCCTTTTAATATCGTCCAATTCAACCCTTTTAATATTGTCCAATTTAGATGCTTGTTCCTTTTCCGTAATATTGTCCAATTTAGATGCTTGTTTCTTTTCCGTAATATTGTCCAATTTAGACGCTTGTTCCCTTTCCGCATTGATACGTCTACGATATTGTTTATGCATTTCGATGTCGTCTTTTATCCTTTTTTGTTGTCGAGCTTTACATGCCTTTAAATAAGAATTATATGAACAAGAGCGTCTTGGTGGCATTTTAATGATAAAAAGATGTAATTTATTTAAGTATTAGGTGTTATTGGCGTGGATTATGATGCGAATTGAAGAATTAAGCATTATTATATAGGAAAATATCATGTAATAAATCGATATATAATTAAATGTAAAGTTATTTTATTTGATATATTTTTAATTAATAATGAATAAGTACAAATAAATAAATACACGCATATTAATTATTTGAATATCAACCTATAAACCTCTTTTATTTTTAAAAAAAATAACGAACGAAAACTGATTACTAAGCCCATTATAGAAAAATTTTGACACGTTAAATTATATATAAAACTCAAACAAAAGCCAATTACTCGAATCATAATAGTTGAATTTGAACAAAGCTAATTATCCAAAATTGAATTAGTTGAATTTTGACGCTGAATTCATAATCATACCTCAATTAAAAAAAAAGAGATTCCCAAAACCTCGAACAAAAAGAATTATTCAAAATTAAATTAGTTCGAATTCATGTATTTTAAAATCATACCTCAATTAAACCTCGAACAAAAGGAATTATTCAAAATCGAATTAGTTCGAATTCATGCATTTTAAAATCATACCTCAATTAAACCTTAAACAAAAGTAAA